TTTCTTTCTTTCTTTCTTTCTTTCTTTCTTTCTTTCTTTCTTTCTTTCTTTCTTTCTTTCTTTCTTTCTTTCTTTCTTTCTTTCTTTCTTTCTTTCTTTCTTTCTTTCTTTCTTTCTTTCTTTCTTTCTTTCTTTTTCTTTCTTCCTTCCTTCCCTCCTTCCTTCCCTCCTTCCTTCCTTCCTTCCTTCCTCCTTCCTTCCTTCCTTCCTTCCTTCTCTCCTTTCCCTATTTTCTTTCTATTTTATTTCTTTCCTGCTTTATTCTTCCTTTCCTTCCTTCTTTCCTTCTTTATTTTCCTTCTTATTTTTTGTTCTCCAGGAGACACATTGCCTCTCTTTTCATAATGAAACGAGTTCTTCTTCACAGATCCCAACTACCTCCTCTCAGATCCTCTGATACCTGTCTGATTTCACTCAGGCAATTGTTCACAATCTGTATTCAGCTTCAGAATTTGCTGCTTCTATTTCAACCCTGAAAAAATGGCTTGCTTGTTTGAAAGCTTGCCTGCTTTTTCAAACTATAGTTGTTTGTTTAATGAGAGATGATAGTATCTCTGCATACAGACCTTGCCCTGCCTTTTATTACAGCTATATTTTACAATAAATATTACTCACATGGACAGACACAATGAAGAAGAGCACGAGACAGGAGGAGAATAGCAAAACACCATCATTATGCCAACTGCCCCCATGTAGGCATCGGGGTAAGGTTCAGCAGACCAAATACAGTCTCTGCTGTTTGCATCTACTGGTGAGATGGTCCTGCTCTTAGTGGCAGTGTAAAGTCAAGATGCTTCACGCAATCAAGCTTTGCCCTTCCATAAGGTCCCACTAGAAACTGTGCAAACTGACCTTTAGATTGAAGTGAGATATTAAAATTGGGCAAGGAGGTCTTTAATTTGGTGAAACCGGAGCAACTAGAGCAGAAAGCCCTTCTTCAAATACCCAGAGAAGAACAAAGCTAAAACACAATGGTCTTTCCAGCACATTAAAAGCCAGTCCCGTTTCCAATTCTTCATCAGATAAGAATGTTTTGTGCACATTGGGCCAATTTATTCTGGAGCAGGAAAGCCTGTAGCCATGCACAGCCCACCCCACCACTTCCTGTGGGAGTCACTGAAAAATCTTCTGTCCTGCCATTCCCCTGACCAAAATATTTCTAAACATTCTGGGAGATTCTTGCAGGCACCCATGTGACTGCATTTAGGAAGCAAACAGCCAACTTCAGGCAGTCACCAGGGGATGCACATTCGTTCCTAGTATGTTTTGCTGAGGTTTTTATTAAGGGGGCTTAACCTTTCTCTGGCTTGCAGAACCCTAAGCAATTAATTGCTATTTATGTAAGCTAATTCTTTGTAATTATAATAGGATAAATTCCCCCATCCACATCCTTAGAGGGCATAAGGAATATGAGAACATAAAAGAGTGTCTAGCCCTGAATATTTGACCTTTTCTACTAAATTTTAGAATCAGAGTGGAGTAATTTTTCCAGGATAAAATCACTTCTATTTCAGGAGAGAATGTGTACCTAGGGAACTATAATGAAATTGTGCAATCTGTTGGTCATTTCCCCCATGTAGATAACTCCTAAATCTTATTTTCCTAGAGTTCTTCAACTACTGTCTTGCTTCAGGAGTGGTTTAAAGAAATGTGAATTCATCCCACGTGCATGAACACTTCTGCCAAATGAAATTCCATAGGGTATTCTGTTTGTAAATCTTAAGAAACTATCAAGTGTAGTCCATTATTCAGCACATCTCAGAGATAATGTATTAGCTTGAGAGCTGTATAGAAGAGCTTTATCCAAATAAGATAAATCACCAAGCAAAAGCTACGTAACAAAGAATAGAAATCTGAAATTAAGCCTGTTGGCAAATCTTTTACCAGAGCGTAAAACATTTTTCCTCTTCCTAAGCCTGGTTCATCATTATAATGCAATTAGTAGTAAATGGCTCAATAAAAGGACTTAGGGTGCATGAGCTTTATTTTGGTCTACACCAGGAAAGAAGCTGATTGACTCCAGCTCTGCAGCATGCTCCCATGGGCACTGGGTTCTGCTGCCTCTGCAGTAGGCATCTATCCTTCACAGACATTTTAGAAGGGCTAGCTGTAACTTGCCTAGTCACAGTCTTTGGAGCAATTCTTTAGTGGAGTGTCTGTAGAAAGCTGAAGGAGTCATAATCATTTCAGCTTTGCACGGAGATGTGGAAGTGCAAGGAACGATCCTTTCTACTCTGTTCCATTGCCCACTTCGTTACAGCAGTAACTCTTGGGCAAGCAACTGAGTCAGGCAAGGGTAGGTGCTTCCTTCTCCTGATTTAGCTGTGCAAGGACTTCCAGATCTCATGGCTACAAAACCCAGGAATCCTGCAGCATACTTCTTGCATGACAAGGTCAGTCAGCCTAGCCTTCACCTCACACTGCAGGAGCACTAACAGAAAATGCTGCCATCCCAGAGCACTCCTCCACCTCATCCATCAGAGCCTTTCCCAGCTCCTTTCTTACCCAGATATATGCCACACTTCAGAGAAACCATCCACCTCCTCTACCTACTTCTACTAAACAAGATCCATGAAGTATAGGCACTCCACATCTCCACTGTGGATTCAGCTCCAGTTAATCAAGCAGGAATTCCCTAATTCCCCCCTAATTCCCTTCTGTCAGAGCTTTGTCCTTTCCTGTACAAGGACACTCAGCAGACACAAAAAACAACTTCACTTTTTCTTTCTCTTTCCTTTTTTTTTTTTTTTTTTTTTTTAAGGTTCAAACCTACAGGATTCCTCTTCCTGTTAAATATACAGACTGTTTTGTTACTAAATACAAAACATGACACATACAGCTAGAATAGCCACCAAGCTGTTTTTACACAAGCAAACCTGTTTCAGCCTGAGGGACCTGGCTTGGGCCCTCTCCATCTATACCATGCAGGGTTATGACTCAGGCTCAGACAGACAAATGACTCTGTTTTGGAGCTGTGTCCTTGACCAGAAGGGACAAGCTAGTTGATTTTTTGGCCGAGTGCAGGGAGGGGGAAGCCTGTTGCCGCTCCAAAGCCAACACTTGTCCATTGGATAATGCTGGCGCTCAGGCAGGAGCTTGCAGTGCTTCCAGAACCAGCAGTGGAGCTCCTCTGTGCATTTGCAAAGTCTCAGCTTGTTGCAGGAGCCTTTTTGCCCAACGTTAAATGAGACAAGAGTAAGCCCAAGCATGCCGCCACGTGTCCTTCCACCAGCAGCCCTGCCTTCCCCTTGGGCTATGAACTGTCTGGAGCTGCAAAAGCCAAATGTCTTCAGCACTGCACTAGCTCTCCTGCTCCATGCATCTAGAAAGAGTTTAGGCCCAAACACATCTTGCCCCTTTTCTTCTCACCCACCTCCTTCTTTATTCACTATCTCCAGAGATTAGCATGTCCACCACCCCCAGACTTCTGCTTTCTCTTTGCTCTGTACAGAGTAATGAGCTTTGCCATGCCATGGGAGCAGGCTGGCTAGGAGCAAGGACTATGATAACGTGGTTTTTGGAGCCTTTGAACTCATACTAACCATGGTTGGCATCATGAGATGAAGCACAGTTCTTAGATCCCCAATGCACACGTGAATAGGAGCTTAAGATCTGCCCTCACACAGACAGGTGGCATATGTCCTTGGCCTCACAGAGACTTCACTAGGAAGGAAAAAAACTAATGAGCTCAAAGCCAACGTGTTAGAGATAGATGTCAGAGAACCTGTCTGCATTCAAGCCAGCACATCATTAACAAAAGCTTTTTCTTTCTTGGGGAGAATCTGTCAGTTCTGGTGCAATGGAGCTTCCTGGATGGCAAAAGTGGGAAGTACCCAAACCTAGGAGATAAAATGAGGGGACTTACTTGGCACTACATCCACTCCACATGTAAAAGGGACCTAGTAAAGCTGAAGATAGTTATACAAATTAATTTAACATGCCCTGTCTTCTTTCTCTCTGTTGGTACAATTTATCCACACCTGGTTGCTTTTTCATTATTGCCATAGCAGCAAATACAATTTCCAGCTGAAATATTACCCTTCCTCTGAAGTAATGGCTAGGTCCATCCTTTTACACCATCTATTTATGTTGGCATCCAACTCAGCAAAATCAAAAACCATCAGAGTTTTGTACATGCTCAAATTTCTTCCTCTGAGACATTTCAATTCAGCATTTATTTTACTGCAATTGTGAAAAGAATTGACCCTGAGATCCAAGCCCCCTGTCAGGAAAACCCACAGTTATAGGTGGAGCCATCTTCTGCAGAAGTCCTCCAGACCCTGCCAAGAACACTGACCATGAGACCACCATGCATGGGCTCCAGAGGTACCCTTACTGTGCAAAGGGAGTCTACAGCAGATGGATGCACCCAGGATCTGCAGTTATGTTCCCCTAGGCTCTGTTGAAGAGATGGGCACTGGCAGAGGTGTCAAAGTTTGGCAGCCTTGGCAGGCAGTCTAAATTCCCACTTGGATTTTTCCACAGGAGGCCCTCAACCCAACCATAAGAGATTATTTCCTTCTTCAGCATGCAGCTTCCCTTTTGAGGGACATTCAATTTACTCAGCCTTCCCTTTCATTCTCACCACAGCTGCCTGCTCATGCTGGACCCAATTTCTACCTTCCCACTCCTCACATTTTCTGCCTCTCCAACGACATGCGCTGCAGCCAGAGCAAGAAAGGCCATGGGGATTTAGTGCTGCTGCAGTGACAGGTCTGAGCACTGCATAAGTTGAGCAAACTTACATAAAAGTTATAGCAAGCTTAGAGACAGGCTGTAGAAGCTGGTATATAATTCAATAATGTGCTGTAAATTCATTGAGGCAGGACATCTGGGAGACCGGTTTCTGACTGCTCTGACCTGCAGCCGGATAAATTCTCCAGAACTGCAGTATATATAAAAAAATAAATAAATCAGAGGCATCATCCCAGCTTCACAGATATATGATAGCAACCACTGCATCTCTTATTTCATCATCATCATAACAACTTCATCCTCAGTCAGAGGCTGTTTTATTCACAAGTTTAATGCAGAGAATCAGACATAAGACTGGGACTGGATACATAACAAAATAATTTATATTTGAGAGTAGCAGTACAAATATTCAGAGTATCCGAGAAAAGTGGAAGGAGGTTTACTGTGAAAGTCGGGGGGGGTTTGCTGCTGGCTTTAAGGAGATCGGCATGTAACCTTAAAAGGTGCAGCATGTTCAAGAACGAAAACAGAAGTCACCTTTTTTTTTTTTGTTACATTTTTATGGTGCTTCTGCTGCAAAATAAAAACTTCTTCGCTGCCATTAAAACACCATCCAAAACATGATAGCCTTGATATTGTTGAGTCTGCAACAGAATATAAACACATTCTATTGGCAATGCTGCATGAAATGATCGCCTTCAAGTGACCTTCAGAGTGGTAACACAACAGATCACACTCTTCATTATTATTATTTCCAGGCTGCTCTCCATAATATCTCAAGTATGAGCCAGATAAGCAGAACTGCATCCCACTGAGCTGGTTTTTAATGTCTTGATTTGTCGAGTAATAGGGTGGCTGTTGGCATACATGATTCTCAATCACACACATTGGTGCTAATTGCAGGAGACTATCCTGAGCAGCTTATTTTTCAAGCTCTTAACATTCACGATTATTGTGAAGAATTTCCCAGCCTGTCCTGGATATAATTAACAGCTTGAGTGAAACATTTCTTTTACTGCTATTGCTAAGCTCTTCTGAATACACTTTCAGTTTCAGGGGGGTGAATTGACTAGTGCATGTAGTCTTTAAATGATCAGATTGATAGTGCGTGCTAGGAAGACAAAAGACTCTCTTCAACATGCAAAGAGAAGAAACTTAGTCTGTGGCCTCCAGTGAGGAAGTGTTTCAGGTATGAGGAGGAATAAATGCCACAGTGTGGCGGGCTGTGTTTTAACTCTGTGTGTGGACTTGATCAGCAGCACTGGAAAACTCTTTTAAACAGTAATTCACACAGTTCGGGAGGGGAAAAAAAAGCTTCTGTTCATTGTTTGCACATTAGAGTAAATAACATTTGATGACAGGAAAAGGAACATTTGGCTCTCACCATGCCAGGACTCCGAGTTTGTCTTTTAAATTACTCACATGGTTATGCAGTGGATTCTTTCATGCCCTTTTTGTAGCATCCTGTTTTTGGAGGCTGCTGTATTTTCTTTTAATTAGCGCATCCCTGGCCCACCTCGGGATGCTCGGCAGGGACTGGGGAAGGTACAGTGGCTGAATTGATGCCTGCCTCTGCCCCACCGGAGCTGTCAGCTTTTAAAATAGCCATGCTTGATTACAGGATGGTCATAGAGTTATTGACTGGAAGGGCCCAGGTCGTTAAAAATGGACTTGAATTTATTTTAACCCACTTATACAACCCAAGCCATCATTCACTATTTTTACAGAGGAAACCTGGAAAATGCTTAAGGAGACTGGGTGAGGTCTCCAACCACCCCTGGGGTGGAGAGATGGGTTCTTCTCCCCACCAACCTCTCTTCTGCCTCTCACCAACATAATTTCACTGGAAGCTATGGGTTTAAAATGCTGGCATTTCCTGATTAAAAAAACACTTTGTGTCTCTCCAAACCCTGGCCACTTCCCACCTGTGGGTCTCCTCACCAGGCAATTCCATGTTTTGGGGACTTGCCGTGCTGTTAGACATGGGTAGTGCCACCTGCACAGCAGACTCATAGCCTGAGGATGAGAGCTGGGATAAAAATATTTGAATATTTGATTGTTATTAAAGAGCTCTCACATCTTATGCTTGCATTGCCCCCCTCCCTGGTTCCTCTCTGACTCAAACAGCTGCTTTTTTAAGCCATGATTTTAGACAGGTGCCTATAGAATACCTTTGTTTGTTTGTTTGTTTGGTGGGGGAGCAAAGGTAACACCAGAGAAAGCAATATGTCCCAGATCTGTGCTGGGTCACGTAGGCTTTGATGCGGTCTGAGCCCCAGGAGATGCTCCATACTGTGGCTGGGGAACCTCAGCACCAACACAGCCACAGTATGGCTCATGGTCAATGGTCACCCTGCAAGACGTGCTGGCATTCTTGTTCTCCTTAACCGTTTTCATTACTGTTAAAAAAGCACACCAGCCATAAATCTTTCCTTTTTCTTTTTTCTTTTTTTTTTTTTTGTGTGTGTGTGTGTGTGTTTTACTTTTTTTTTTTTTTTTTTCCCCAAACCCCAGATATAGAGCTGAACTGAACTTGACAGTGTTTTCTTTATGTTCATCATAATCTTGCTACAAACTCACCACACGCTACGCTGGAAATCTGCCTGACAAGTGTTTTTAATTTGAAGGGAAAATACCAGAAGTTATATTGCTTGCAAGTTGACGAATGCTTTTTTTTTTTTTTCTTCTTTCTTTTTGCAAAATGCTTTGGTCTCATTTCCAACACCCTCTCCTTGCAGATGGTATCAGCATGAGCAAATCAAGGTATCGCTGGAGTAGGCTGTTCGTGGTTCAGCTAAGTACACTTCTGTCCCTTTGCATGCCTTTTTGTGGAAAGGCATGAATGGTTTATAAATTCAGCACTATCCCAGAATGTTACTCCAGACAAGATTCTGCCATTTTGCCTTCCATAACATATTGTAGCACTTCACACTGCATACCATCTCCTGGCTAGCCAAGATTGCCAAAATTATCTAGGTGCCTCAGTCCTGTGGGAGATCTGAACCCTTGTTCTTCTCGGATCCCCAAAAAGCAGCCTTTGTTCCATCTGTTTTCTCTGTTCACTTCCACACCTGGAACCAGTTCTACAGGGATCTAGGATGTCAAGGGGAGAGAAAAAAAATTGATTTGTCCTAGCAGGATCATTTCCATAGCACCTGTTCACATAACAAAAAGAGAAAAAAGTAAAAGCAAGGAGGGAGTGAAGGCGAAAGAACTTTGAACATATCAGGTAGCAAAATGAAAATACATGGACAAAGTTGGAATGAGCACTTTACTGAAGACCATTTCAGAGAAAAACAGGGAAACATAAACATATGCTTGTATCATCTGCGTTAGGGGCCTACCAAAGAGGAAACACAACTACAGAGGAACTTACAAAGCAAAGCACAGGATTTCTGGTCCTCCTCCTGTTTTTCTCTCTTGGCCACAGACCAGAGGAGCACAGTGGTATTCACAATAAATATTCCTTGTAGGTCAATGCCAGCAAGAGGCACAACGTAAGTCTGAGACAAACAGCCTAACTCTGCCCTGCTGGCCTGCCTCCGTACCTGGGGGCAACCACATACCACCTACCCTTACACTCCTGCAACACAATGCAAAGTAAAGGCATAACAGAACACATATACAGTTATATCTCCCATATCTATGTTGTATTCAGGCAAAAACAGTCCTTTTGTTCAGATTTTGAAAGAGGGCTTCCACCACAGGTCAGGCTGTATCTGTAGGGCACAACAGAGACTCAGGAGGCAGGGAACATACCACACAAAAATATAGCATCTGCCCCAAATCTGGCAAGGGGTTCTTGAGCTATACATCTGCTGACACACACAATATTCTTTAACATAAAAACTGCCATAGCTTGGTTCAAGTAGTCCAATTGTATATAATAATATAAACTGTTGCTTGTAACAGTGGGTGCTGAAGAAGCTATTTTAACCCAGGAAAGCAGTCTCCTACCTAAGCTTGCTAGTACTGCGCTGTAATGAGTTAAAACAGACTGCAGCTTGTTAAAAGGGCTGAGATGAACCAGCAGATATATGTGGGGAGGTTTATGCTAGCACCTACTCCTACAGGGTATGAGTCAGGCCAGCGCTGTTGCTCTTTCACTTTTGTAAGCACTAAACTTTGCAAGCTTTTGAGCTGCTCTGAAATTTCAGGTGCATATCTTTTAACTGACTAACCAGCTAAAATGTCTGCAGGCTGATAAAAATTGCAAAACAAGCTTAAAAACAAAACAAAACAGGTAAGGTAGTAGAAGAAATAAGTTTGTGTGTGTGCGTGTTTTGTTTTGTTTTGTTTTGTTTTTTAAAAACAAGTAAAACCATAGGATCTAAACCCTGAAAACATGAGGCATCCTACAGATGTATAAAGTTATAAAGACAGTGTGATAACTTGTCTCATTCTGGGCCTTACCTGTTAGTTGTAATCCAGTCCAGCCTCTTTCTTAATTTGAACCTGTGGGGTTCAGATTACCTAAACTCAGTGGGTACATCACTCCTTTAAGGCAAACAGTTATAAAAACAACCCTTAAAACATTGATCAAAGCATGATAACATAAGAGAGGAGATGGGACTTGAGGGAAGTTACTGCTTGAAGGAGGCAGGAAGATGAGAGCAGAAGCTTGTGTTTGAGCCACTTTCTCACCATGGCTAATGTAACTGTTCTGACTCCTCTGGCTTGTGAGGAAGCTGAGGAGAAGCAGAAAAGTCAGTCCTCATTTTCAAGTTTTTGTATGTTGTTTCACAACCCATTGCAATGCAAACTGCATTCAGCACTTCCTTCTTTTCCATCAGGCTTCTCTTCCATCAGGCAATGGAGTATTGTGAGTAATTTTTATTTAGCTGTTTTTCCTTACTATAATACTGTATTAAGTAATTTTTAATTCCTCTCCATCTACTTTTTTCTAGAATGTGCACAGACATGGAAAAGGTCAGAGCTTAACTTCAGAGCTATGCTTAAAGTTAAAGGGAAGATAATTATACCTACCACCTTATGCATAACATATGTTGAAAAATTGGTGATGTTCAAGGTAACTTTGAGATTTTGAAGCCCCCCCTAATCCTTCAGCAAGAAACCAGAGAGCACAGAAGCATAGTCTGCTACAGATCCTTGTCACAACATGACCCATTCCTCCTGTGAGAGGACCAGCACCTCTGTCTTCAAATATCCTGATGGAGGTACTGAACCTGAGGTACAGCAGTCCTGAAAGAAGAGGGAGAAGCAGATCAGGATCAGAAAAGCAGAACAAGGACCACATCATGGTGAGTCAATGACTGAGGGACATGCCCCCAGAAAGGAGAGCCAGAGCTGGCATTTCTGTAAGTCCCAAAGGCGGTATAAGTGTACAAAACCAACAAACAACCAAAAAAAACCACAGAAGGCCTGTAAGAAAAGCCAGGACTTTGTGAAGAATTTTTTTCCTACCTACCATTTGTTTCTCTGTACTCAGCCATTTCCAGTTTCGAAGCCTTTGTGCCTTTCTTCCTTCATACATAAAACTTCAAGAAATAATACTTCAAAAAGTCTACATGTCAGACTAAATTCAACACCTCTCCTGGTAAATACATCCCACTGTGCCCCGTAGCTTTCATTGTGAATCAGAAGAGATGACTAATGCCATAACTGCTTATTAAAAAGAAAATTAATCATTTCTTTGTGAGTTAAACTCTTAAAATTTTTTTAACACTTTAAAACCGAGGAAAATTAGTTTTGATGAGATACAGCAGTGGCACTTGGTTTTTGTAGATGTAAAAGAGCATTTTGTTCTCAGCAGCTATTGCTGATTTTTCTTTTTGCTTGACAGATGAGCTTATCAAGTGTCACTGACATTTTTGCAGTACTGTGTTAAAATATGCTTCATTTGCTACTCATCTGAAAACTTAAGATGTGTGTTGTTCAGAAGGCACTAAAGGATTGATCCAATAAATCATGTGGGCTGGAAATGCTTCAGTTTCCTAGAGACCCCTTGGCTTCACTCGCAGTGCCTACACCAAGAGTAGCAGATAAGTTGATGAATAGAGATCTTTCCCAGGCAGTGGGAAGTGATGATTTGAACCTCCTCACACTGGTCCAGGATATCTTTTGCAACACGTGGTGAAAAGCAGTTACACACTTTGTTCACTCTATAAGGCAGCTTAAGGAGGTGATTAGATATTTGATGCTTTTCTGGGCAAGAGTACACTTAAACAAGGAAGCGGGCTGCATCCATTGATTATCTTTTGCATCTACAAGCACTTCCTTTTCTTTTCAAATTCTTCTCCCTCACCCTCAGAAAAACACCAGGTATTTGAAACAATATTGTAACAGGGGCCTAAAACAATAATATGTGACTAGCAAAATAAGATTTACCAGTAGGTGTTCACAGAAAAATATAGGATGGAAGAGACCTCTGCAACCACCTCATCCAGCCCTTTTCTCCTTTGAGGACCGACTTCAAAGTTAGATCAGAAGCTGGAAGGTCTTGTCCTGTCAAGATGTGATTATATCTGGGGATGAAGATATCCCCAGCCTCTCTGTGCAACCTGCTTCAGAATGACCACACACACAAAACTGTACACAGTTCCACAGGAGTGCCTGTGAAAGGAGAATCACTTTCCTGGACCATCTGGCTTTTGCTGATGCAGCTCAGGATCCTGATGGCCTTCTTCACCCAAATTTGTTGTCCACAGACTGCCAGGTTAATGTCTACAGAGCTGCTTTTCAGCCAGTTTGTCCCCAGCTTATACCAGTGCATGGGGTTATTACACCTTTGCATATGCTGTTGTTGAATTTCATGAGGTTTCTGTCAGCTTGTTTCATCAGCTTGCTATGATCCTGCTTAATGGAAACCCTGCTTTCTAGTTCTCCCTCCAGATTGGTGTCATTGGTGTACTTGCTGCAGGTTCATTCTGTATCATCACACTTGACATCAATAAAGATATTAAACACTATCAGCCCCCCTTTATTAAGCCCTAAGCAATGCCGTTCATGACTGGCCACCAGTTCAAGACAAGGATCCTCACTCTTTCAGTGGGGGCAGTTCAGCCAAATTTTTTCACCAACTTTGTAGTCCATACACACAGTCCAGATCTTCCCAGTCTGACCACAACAGTGCTATAGGAAACTGTGTCAAAAGCTTCAGCTTCACTAAAGCCTTGATAATGCTGTGCTCTTGCTTTCTGAGCCAGTCATCTCATGAAAGAACACAATCAAGCTGGTCAGGCATGACTTGCTCTTGGTAAATCCATGCTAGATATTCTCTGTCATCTTTTTCTCCTTCATGTTCCCAGACTTTCCTTCCAATAAGGATGTGCTCCCCTTTCTGCTTAGGGAAAGTGGAGAGGGAGATGCTGGTTTCTTCCCCTGATAACTCATGTTGGAATGTGAGGGAATGTCACAAAGCTGCACCGGGGAGGTTTAGACTGAACAGTAGGAAAAAACTCTTTCCTGTGAGGGTGGTCAAACACTGGAACAGGCTTCCTAGCAAAGGTGGTTGACGCCCCATGCCCATCACTGTTCAAGAGGCACTTGGACTATGCCCTTCATAACATGCTTTAACTTTCAGATAGACCTGAAGTGGTCAGGTGGTTGGACTAGATGATCTCTGAAGGTTCCTTCCAACTGAGCTGTTCCCTTCCCTTCCCTTCCCTTCCCTTCCCTTCCCTTCCTTTCCCTTCCCTTCCCTTCCCTTCCCTTCCCTTCCCTTCCCTTCCCTTCCCTTCCCTTCCCTTCCCTTCCCTTCCCTTCCCTTCCCCTTTCCCCTATGTTGGGAAGATTCTGGTCAATAATCAATTGATTGGTCTGTTACTCATTCCATAGCAAAGCTTAATGCTCTCAAAGCCCTCCTCTGTGTATCATTAAAGCCTCCTCTCCTCACCTTCTCTCTCTGCCCTTCCTACAGAACCTGTATCTGTCCGTGGCACCAGCAGGCAGGTAAGATCTTCCCTTGCATTTTGCGATGCCAATGGCATTTTTAGTTTCCTCTTTACTTTCCCATATTTTGTCTTTTGCTATTCAGAAACATAAAATTAAAAAAAAAAAAACAAACAAACAAAAAAAAAAAAAAACCTGTCTCTGCAATTACTTATGGAAATGTAAAATTTGTAAAAAATAGAGGATTTTTAACATCAAAATGCCCCTAGGAATGATCATATTTTTTCCTCAGCCTATTTTAGAGAACACTTTTGCTTTTGCAAAGACTCTAGCTTTTCAAGACAGCTATTTCTGCTACGGCTAAGAGATAATAGTCTCATCAAGTTATACTGTAAGCCCTTTAAATACACATAAGTAAGAAACACTAAAAAATTGTGATGAGGATACTATAAGCTACTGAACATTTCTACTTCTTTCCCTCTTAGCAGCAGATGCAAGCTTGAGGAAACAACATTCACAGGGTGATATTTAGTTCCAGAGGTTATATTTGTAGTTTCTATTATGAGATTAAAGCACATGAGCTACTTTGCCCTCCAGTACTGGTTTTCACGGGCTTTGCAGAATTTGAAGACTTTTAACTGCTGGAAAATAGTCTTAATATATCACATCTATGCCAGTAAATGTATCCTTTCATTGCAAAGATTTGGCCATTATGTTTCTTTACTTTACAGAGATTGATGAGATTTACCTTACACTTAGGGCTATGCAAATAATTGATTTTTCTGTTCAGCAGAACACAGCAAAAGCCAAAACCAATATTTTGGGGATTTTCTTGCCAAAATGAAAAATAATAATAATAATTTTCTGGTTGAAAGGAACATTGAGATCAACCAGAAACTAAATGTTTCATTTTGTTTTATTTTTAATAAAAACAAAAGAAAAGTAAGGGATAGAGTCACAAAATCAGCATAGAGGATATTTTCCATTTCTACCTGGTTTCTTAGTGGTTGGCAGATCACAGAATCATTTGGAAGGGTCCTCGGAAGAGCATCTAGTCTAAACCCTCTGCTCACAGCAGTGCCAACAAGAGCAGTTTAATTTGCAAAACTGGTTCCATCTGTGACCACACTTTTCACAGGATCTGGATGAGAACAATCCCTTTCTTCTCAAGTTTCTTCTCATGTGTTTGCCATGTCACTTCAGTTGCACCAAGCCTGAGTGGCTGCAGGAAGGCTGAGCTGGCAGTGAAACACACTTCTGACACAGGGACTAGGATATAGGTTGTTATACTAGTTAATGAGGTGACCAATCCTCTCCTAAAAATGTTTTGTATTACAGAACAATAGAAAAAGTCTTAGCTATTCTGCTGCTTAACACTCTTGCTGCAAAGAGAAGAAGATAACAGTGCAGCGATCAGAGAAGATGAAGCAGTTCCCACACTACTGAAGAAGCTTACATAAAGCAGGCTATTCATGTCTCGTACAAAGCATAAGACGTTACTTTGATTTATTTTGCTGTATGGTTCTGATTTCCCACAGTGAGATTCTTTAAGATGAAGAACATACTCTTGAGTCTCAGGGTCTGATCCTGCTATGTTTACTTCCCCCTTACTCCCAGGCAATAGAAGGGTAACTCTATGTTGGAAGAGGCTACACAGGCAAGGAGGTTCATGCTCCTGCAAATGCCAGACCAGGCACTGCTGTACATTTGTAGCCAGCTCTGGATTTAAGGCTGTCTCTAAATGGGAGCCTCAGAGTCCAGGGCACCCCAAAGATACAGTGCTTTGCATCTCTCAATATCACAAGCTTGGCCTGAGGTGTACTGTGGGACAAAGATTTGACCTTGGTCACTTTGAGGACAACCTAATACAGACCAGAAGCAGGGTGAAGTAAGCACAGCCTCAGCTTCCACCCTGCTAAGCAGCACGTTTGGCTGCTCATTTGGTGCACCCTGCCTTCTGCCTGTCCCTAGAGAGACACCAAGCATGTCTTAGGGGTATGACATGGTATTTGGTTTCTCATCCTGCTCAGTATGTTTAGCTCTGATGCTGGCAAAAATGACACTGTGAAGAGTCTACAGGTAGTGTGAACCTCATGAGGTTCAATAAGACCAGCGGCAAGCCCCTGCATCTGGGCCGGGGCAATCCCAAGCACAAATACAGTCTGGGTGGAAGATGGATTGAGAGCAGAGCAGCCCTGAGGAGAAGGACCTGGGGGTGTTGGTCGACAAGAAGCTCAACAACATGTGCTTGCAGCCTAGAAAGACAAATATATCCTGGGCTGTATCAAAAGCAGTGTGGCCAACAGGTGGTTCTCCCCCTCTACACTGCTCTCATGAGACCCCACCTGGAGCCCTGCCATCAGCTCTGGGTCCCCAGCACAAGAAGGACATAAAAGTATTAGACCGAGTCCAGATGAGGGCCACAAAGATGATCAGAGGGCTGGAGCACCATTCATGTGAAGACAGGCTGAGGGAGTTGGAGTTTTTCAGCCTGCAGAAGAGAAGGCTCTGGGGAGACCTTACAGCAGCCTTCCAATACCTAAAGGGGCCTACAGGAAAGCTGGGGAGGGACTCTTTGTCAGGGAGTGGAGTGAGAAGAATAGGGGTAATGGCTTTAAACTAAAAGAGTGAAGGTTTAGATGAGATATAAGGAGGGAATTTGATGAAGGGCAGCTCCTCTGCAAATCCACATCCAGCTTCCTCCCATGCCACAGTCATAGCAATGCTTTCATGGTATCCAAAATTTCCGTGGCATGTGGTGAATAGGAGATCTGCTTTCCTATTTAATTTTGAGTTATAGCTGAAGAGGGTAAGACTAGTAGTTTTGTAGTATAAAATAGCTCTGCATTGTTCTCCCTTAAAACCAGGAATTTTGCCCACAGCCTCAAATTTGAGGCTTTATTTAATCAAGGCGTTATGCACACACCTAGTAATGCATCCTCACTGCTGATACGGTGGCATGGGGGCAGCGAGAACGAAATGACTCCTCAGACAGCACCTTTCAGTAAGTCATTAGCAGGACACATACAGCAGTCTAGCACCTGTGATGCTGAGACCTAGACATTAAACCACTTGTTGCCAGAATTTTTGGTCTCTATTTTAAGCAGGACTGTAATATGGTTTATAAACATCGCTGCAGACTTTAATATTTTGACTATTTAAAGCACGTTTACCAAAACAGAAAGAAATTATTAAAGTTGGTTGCAAGTTCTGCTGCTAAGTGATTCAGAAACTGTTGGACTCTACAAAATTAGTCATTTATTAAAAGGTGCAAGAATCATTTCTTAACCTATTAATGAATGCACTCTACTGTAAAGCGTGACTAACTTCCCATAAAAAGAGATCAAATTTGTGGGTGCACATAGTCACTTTGTTACCTTTCTACCATAATTCGGTCTGTTTCTGCACTTTGCATGGGCACATCCAGGAACTCAATGCGCAGGTGCTCGAAGGCGTTTGGTGAGGGCTGACAGACTCGCTCCTTGAAGGGAAACCTTTTCTCGGAAAGTCTCGCTCTGTGCTTATTTGGAAGATAGGAAAAGCAACAGCAGGCTCTCTCATCTGGTTCACCAAGCCTAGACCTGTTCCCAGTCAAGCTGTTAATCTCAGCCTCTTTTTAACTCTTGTGGCTTTTCTGACCCAGCCTTAATTTTATATTTAGGCCATTTTCTTGTAATGAGTCACAGCTGTGACTGTCATTTTAGTACAGTGAAATGTGTCGACAAGACCAAGAATAGCAGCTGTCTGTCAGACCTGCACCTAACATGTTAATGGAGATACCAAACATTGGAAACAGAACCAAAGGCAGTGAAATGGAGAATGCAGCTCTACAGTGAAAGTCGTCTTTTAAACAGCGTGTGTATTTTTTTTCTCCCCTAAAATGACAGTAGAGGATTAAAAAATGAATTTCACTGGGGTTTATCCTGCCCAGATCAACCTTGGAAATAGCTGGGATAAACCCTCTGCTGGGAGGAGTGGAAGAATTAGGGTTATTTCTACCTCATTAGGATCTCCTTACCAAAGTATCCTTGTTGATACAAGCTAAGAACTTGTCCCTTCCAGCTTCACTGTATATGGCCTGGGAGTGTAGCATGAGATTTGAGAGGAGGTTGGCCCAGCTTGTCTTCTGCACCCCTTGAGGTACCACAGCTGCCTCTGTTCTGGGCAATAAAACTTCCCAAACACAAAAACTTTCACTTCTGCAGGAGCTGCTTGGTTTTGAGATGTGGTCAGTGATGCAAAGGCCAGCTCACGCCCAGTACGTACTGGGGTCTCTCAAGGATCAGTATTGCTTCCTCATGACTTTAGTAACAACCTGGGTGATGGGACAGAGTACACTCTTAGCAAGTTTGTGAACACCAAACATTCAACACTGTTTCAATGGCTGGGCTACCATTTGAAGGAACCTGGACAGGCTGGATAAACAGACTGACAGAAACCTCATAAAGTTCAATAAGAGGAAGTATTGCATCTGAGATGGAGACAGGACAGTCGGGGGGCTGCTTGTATGGGAAACAAATTGCATAAGAGGATCTGGTGGGCAACAAGGCCAACAGGACCTTGACCATAGCCAGGTAAGTCCATGAAAGGGACTCTTCCTCCTGCTTGGCATCTGGTGCACTTGGTGTCTAAGCTCAGACACGGGGCAGACAGCAGGAATTTTCTTGGTTAGGCTGCTTGAGGAACCCACCTAATGAGTGCATATCTATTTTGTGTTAAGATCAGTGCAATACAACTGGCAATGTCAGAGACCTCCAGGTCTTCAGAAGAAGGCTAATGTTGTGATGGTGTTGTTTATCCTGTTATCATCAGTGAGTTTCTACTGTTTTGTCTGGAAGGGAAAAAGGCTAGCTTGTGGCTTTCTCATCACAGACTGAAGGGCTCTTGAGGGATTTAAGGAAAACGACCATTGTTGAGGTGATGTTACCTCATCAACAGCTGGACTGAGATGCTGCAGAGGCTGATGTGAAATCCATCTCTTTAGCTATAGGTGGAAGTGACCCAGAAAATGAGGAACCGGTTTTATTCCTACAAGAGAACCTGAGACTTTCTAGGCATCACTGTTCTTACCCACCTGCGAGTAGTTTGGATCTGACCTGTTGCTCTGCTGCCATGTGCCTGGTGGCACTCAGTCCCATGTGATTTGGATGTGCCACTTGTAAGTGTAGAAGCTGTTGGTTAGTGCATGTCTGCAGGCAGCTGGGGAGCAGAGCCCAGTGCCATCCTGCACTGATGTGTGTAACGCTGCCTCTCCTGATCAGCCAGATTCACCCCTGAGAAGCTGCACTTCTCTCCACTCTCCCAGGAGTGACATAAAATGTGAAACAAAAATTGAAGAAAGAAAACACAAGAAGAGGCAGTGGGTCTGGCATTGACTTTGGAGGAAGGAGACCTTGGTCCAAGGTCATTCCCCTGTTCTAGTCAATGAGAAATAATTCAAGGAGCAATCCTTGCCATTGATCTTTTATCATCATCTATCTCTGGGCTAGTGTTTAGCAACTTCAAAGAGCCCTCTTAGCGTTTGGCTATTTTGGAGATTTGACCAACTCTCCCAAGCACTGTGTACGGTCTACACATCTCACACAAGTTTATGGACTACACTTCGAACCTGAAGTCTTAAAGCTGGACATCATGGCACCCTCATTGCTCAGCTGTACAAATCTTTATTTGGATCTACTAATCAGTTTCTGTGTATGGAAAACTTTTACCATGGCCACAAAGTTTTCCATGGCTTTGAGCGCTAGTATGTAGTAATAGTAATAGGATGCTGATGCTGATGACAAATGATGATTAAGTGAGCCCTCTGTGTTTGTCAGGGAAATTTCAAATGCCTTGACAAATCTTATTTCCTTAACTCAACATAACCCATAGTAAGTCAGTAGGTTGGGAGGAATTAAGCACAAACAAATACGAATCTTCATTAGCCTGGTTGAGTCACTAGTGTTTCAACAAAGTTCGAAAGGCTACAGGTCCCCTGAGGCACAGAACCAGAGAAGCTAGCTAAAGCACTTCCTCCAGCATTCAGACTGGTGCTCAAGTGGTTCAGACTACAAGATGTTAGACCGGGGTTCCTAATTTTTTCTTCCTGGAGGGCTGTTTAATGAGCCAAACATCAGGCTGGG